CGAGTCTGTAGAACCTGTCAGGGCGGGTCAATATCACTTATATTAATTAATGACTTGATGCCACTATTTCAGAATAAGCAACAGTTACAAAAATTCAGATTATTTCAAAAATGAAACCCAGAAATCAATGAAAGATTATATTGAATTTATTACCTACTTGATAATTTATTTAAATACAATAATCTAAATACTAATGAAAGAAGAATTAAGCCCCCCTTCCCCACCCTCACCCCCCCCCCCCACCCCCCCAATGGAACTGTTACTCTGATATACATACAAATACTGGTTGTTTTTCGTCGTTTCCTGGGTGGGTTTTGCGGAGGCTTGCCGTCGTTCGAGTGGTAGAACTTGATGTGAGATTCCAGCAGAGTCTCCTTACGGAACCCCTTATTACAGTCCTCAAACGTACACTTAAAATGGTTGTGTTCAGGCTCGATGACGAAGGCTTTTGGTGGAAAGGCTGTCTCAGGAACCAGGATATAGTTGGCTTTTAAACAAAAAAGAATTGAAATAATTCATCTATCTATATGTCAGTCAAAATAAATCAATTTTACTGCCAGACCAATCAAACTGTGATTGCTATATGTTGATGTTATGGAGTAGCGTTTTAAAGGAATTTCACAGAAAATTCTATTTTTAGTAACCATGGCAACACCGTTCATCGAAATCAAAAATTGATGCACTACTCTATGTATCTTAGTGTAGTCTACTTGTGTGCCAAGTTATATTGAAATCAGACCAAAACTGCAGAAGGAGTAGCGTTTTAAAGGAACTTCACAGAAAATTCTATTTTTAGTAACCATGGCAACACCGTTCATCGAAATCAAAAACTGATGCACTATTCTATGTATCTTAGTGTAGTCTACTTGTGTGCCAAGTTATATTGAAATCAGACCAAAATTGTAGGAGGAGTAGCGTTTTGAAAAATTGTTTACAGACAGACAGACAGACAGACGGACGGACGACGGACGCATTACTTTCGCATAAGCTCTTCTGGTCTCTGACCAGTAGAGCTAAAAATGGCATTTTCCCAACTAACACAGCTCATAATAAAAGGTGCATCTAAAGCTACCATTGGAAAGAGAAATTGATCAACTTTAAAAGAACTCGTTCATGTCTTACCTTCAGAAAGAAGCTGCCCCTCCACATTAAGCTGCTCTGAGCCCGCCAGTTCGGTGGTGCCCTCGTATGAAGTGCTCGGCCGACAGAGGGAGCCACTGGAGGGGTACCGCTGCCTGGGGGTGACGGAAATGTCCGAGTCTGTAGAACCTGTCAGGGCGGGTCAATATCACTTATATTAATTAATGACTTGATGCCACTATTTCAGAATAAGCAACAGTTACAAAAATTCAGATTATTTCAAAAATGAAACCCAGAAATCAATGAAAGATTATATTGAATTTATTACCTACTTGATAATTTATTTAAATACAATAATCTAAATACTAATGAAAGAAGAATTAAGCCCCCCTTCCCCCCCCTCACCCCCCCCCCCCCCCCCCCAAATGGAACTGTTACTCTGATATACATACAAATACTGTATGTTTTTCGTCGTTTCCTGGGTGGGTTTTGCGGAGGCTTGCCGTCGTTCGAGTGGTAGAACTTGATGTGAGATTCCAGCAGAGTCTCCTTACGGAACCCCTTATTACAGTCCTCAAACGTACACTTAAAATGGTTGTGTTCAGGCTCGATGACGAAGGCTTTTGGTGGAAGGGCTGTCTCAGGAACCAGGATATAGTTGGCTTTTAAACAAAAAAGAATTGAAATAATTCATCTATCTATATGTCAGTCAAAATAAATCAATTTTACTGCCAGACCAATCAAACTGTGATTGCTATATGTTGATGTTAAAAAAATCAAAAATATTCCTCTTCAACTAGATATACATGTAAATTTGTACTAATACTGATTATTTGCTATCACAGTTAAACTTTTGATTTCTCATACACAGTTGAATATCATGGCTATGTCAAAGTCAACCGAATTCCCAACTACTCTTTTTTAATGTATTTTAAATCTCGTTATTAGGGCTGTCACCGGTACCCGAAATGACCCAGAACCGCGGAACAATTCATTCGGTTTGGGTACGGTTCTGTTTTTCCGGAATTCGGTTCGGTTCCGATTTGTATAGTAGTGTAGGTTTTACTATAAAAATGGCGTCAAAAACGAGAGATTTCTTAATACATTGCAATTATAAGGTGATTTAAATAATATGGTACAATTGTTGTCTAGTCAGGAAGCTACTTTAAACTAGTTAAAATGTTGCTATTTCGAAGATTAAATGAAAATATTCTTTTTGTTGTTGAAAATAATACAAATCATTAGCTTTTATTTCATTAATTACCCAAACTGAAATACCCGAAACCAAACCTAAAAAAATCAGAACCGACCCGACCCGAAAAATTTCGGAACCGTGACAGCCCTACTCGTTATCTTGAATTCTCAGTCCAATTAAGTTGGAGATAAAAAAAATTTTGACTGTAATTGTAACCTATACACGTTATCCTTCTTTATTTTGAAATCCATTCTAATTGGAATACTGTCAATTTAAAAATTACTTTTTTCTCAATCTAGTGAAAGAGAGCATTGATATTTTACAAGTTGACTTAAAACAACACCTCAATTTTTCATTCAAGAAACAAACTTGTATATGTACCTCTAGATCTTTGTTCATGGACCTGCTTCGTAATCATTCATTGTATACATACCTCTCTCGTTAGTGGACCTGCTTCGTTTCCGTGAGAAATGAGGCTGGCCAAATTTCTCTCCCTTTTCCGTTGATTTACTAGTACTTCTCTTTCTCACTGAACTTTCTCCTGATTGAGTGATTGGAGAAATTGTCTGTTTACGACTTTTTCTGTTCTCTACAACATTAAATTAATAAATTAATTAATAGATTATAATCAACGAGACCCAATCTACTTGGATTGGGCAGCATTACATTTTCACACAACAATTACATGATGCAATAGACTGGTAAGTTTCATCCAGGTTTACATCTGATTCTTAGTGGTGGGATAGTGGGAGGGGAGAGAATAAAATGCCCATTCATTTGCTTACTTTTATGCTTACTTTTGCCTTTAGATGGGAGTACTGGAGTAAGGAGTTCCAGAGATTGTCCAGTTCTTGTCATATGTGTGCCGTCTGTCTTCATACCTGGAGACTGTTTTGGAGTTGAGAGGGAGGACAACACTGCTATAGAGATAAAATGTGATTGGATCAAAGAAGCATCTATTAACTCTTTAAGCATTTATACAGACTAAATCTAAAATTAAAATATTCATATCTTATTAATTAAAAGTACATGTACATATTATTGAATTATGGCACTGCAGGATAATCAACAGAGTTCACTTGCTTGGCTCTTTATTTTGACTTTTGCAGAAAAAAAAGAGTGCAGAGATAGCTCTAAATTTTTACCTAGATAGAAATAACTAATTCATGAAATGAATAAATACCAAGAAAAATCTGAATATCACAAACATTTATTGAAATTTATTTTTTTTTTAATTTCAAGTTTTTTTGTACTTTAATGGTACAAAATACTGTAGAGACCCGCTATTACGGTGGTTTTATACGATAGAACGCTTATTACGTTGTAAATTCAAAGCACAAAACCATTTCTTAACAAAACTATACAAAAAAGAACCGTTTATTACGTTGTCCAAAAACGCCAGGTCTCAGTATTACGATGTAAAAAATCTGTCAAAATTTTTTCACCCTGTGTTTATTCAGTGTTGATTGCTGGTAGACACTTAATGAGACGCTAAACAAACATTGGAACACCTGTGCTTTGAGAGAGTGTTAACCTACAGGACAGTTAGGTGATTAGTGACGCTTGATTGCACCCACCTGGACTGTGTCAGCGAACCCAGCAGATTTGGAGACGTGCCAAAGCCATTGTTAAACAATTAAAGTTAACTCATAAATCTAGCTTCTTCTTTATCTATCACTGTAATTTTTTTAAAAATTCTTTTATTCTTTATTTCATACTTAGTTTAATAAATTAATAAATTAAAGGTTATATTTAATATCATGCATGTATGCTGTACACAGGTACACATAATGTGTAGTTTCATTTGCAAATAAACTGCGTGGGTATCAAACATAATTAGGACAAAATTTGAACTCTACTACAAACGTTTTAACAGCTTGGGTAGTGGCTTGGACTACATTTCAGTTGTCAGCAGAAATACAAATCGATAATTGCTGAACTTCTAATTGACCTCTGTTTAGTAATTAAAAAAAAAAATTATTTTGACTGATTGCTTGCCTATTTACTTTGACCTTTTTATTTGAATAAAAAAAATGTTGCTGCTTACTTACAAATGACTTTTAATTGAATACAAAGATAATAAAATAATCAGAATTATTTTGTTTATATAGAAATGACTTTGACTACGAAGACATTGAAATTTTCACGAACGCATTATCTGAACAAAAACGAAAGTGAAAGTACATGTTACAGAAAATGGCGGCAATTAAAAGAACATCGTCGAAGTTTTTATTAAAAAATGTGCTCTATGCTTTTACTATGATGGAAAAAGAAGAAATAGCATCATGAAAATAAGTTTTAAAGATAAGTAACCAATGAATTAAGGGTATATAGCATATTGGTTAAGAATTTGAGCATAAAAAGAAGATAGAAGGAGAAAAATACACCCCCTAATACAATCACACGTTTTCCAAACGATGTTTTACTGGATTTTATTGGGAACTTTTATTACGTTGCCCTCGGTATTGCGATATTTTACCGTGACAAAGTGAACATCGTAATAACGGGATTCTACTGTAACAGGGTTATTTTCGCCCCCTGTTATTTTCATCCTTAATTTTGCCCCTTTTAAATTCACCTAGTCACAATTCTGTTTTTAAAATTATGTTTCTTTTAATTTTTATTTCGCCCAGTTTTATATTCACCCACCTATGGGCCTGTATACAGTATTTAGAATTGTACATACAAATATTCACATCGACGGGACGGTCGTGTCGAGATATCTGTCAGATATCAGAGTTAAGGCTCAACGCCCTTAACATTTTTGCATAGTATAACTATAGATCTAAACTGAACAGACTGTAATTACAGGTATCTACTTGTCTCTAAATAGACTCTAGCTCGTTTGTTTCAGCTATCCCTCTATATTTATTAGAAAATATAAGAAGTTATATATTCACAAATGTTATTTATGAAATGCTTTCATTTTTATCAAAATCTTGTCATTTAACTCAAAACCGTTTTCTATCCAGCATTCGATCCGCGTGCCACTAGCTCTGTCAGAACAGGATACGACATGCGCTCTATAAACTCCAAACCGGACGGTACAAAGTCGACTTCCGAGATACGGAAAAAAATTAATTTGTATATTTTTTAAATTATTTCATTTCACTTCTTTTTTATTTCATAATCATTCATCATTAATTTTCATTTCATTTTCATCCCAAAATTTGATTGGAAATGCTCATTTAACAAACTTCATGATGTTTCATATTGCATTACGCTGATGCAATAGTCGTGCATGACATTGTTTTGATCGATTCCTGATGAATGTATTTTTACAATTTTTAAGTTAATTGAATTCAATGCGTATATTGTTCATTGTTATTCAGTTACCTTTTTTTTTTATAATATTAAAGTTTTGTTAAATTTCGGCATAAAAAACGGTTGTACATTTAGGCAGAATTGAGACAGATTTATCAACTGAATGATATTACCCAAGCTGAACATTAAACAATTAACGTATTAGAGACGCCGAGGGCTTGGGATTCCTCCTCAAACACATTTTAACAGAGCAGTAATGTAGTCAAAACATGGGTGTGAAAGGTGTGAATTTCTGACAACATCGAGATACACGGAATCGTCCGTGCGTGACGAGCGACCAGCTGACAAACAATTAGCCTGAATTAGGTTAAGTCAGCAGAAAATTGCCCCGATGTCACATATACCAGGTAAATTTTGCTGGGCGCATTTAGAGATAAGCGGGGTAGTCAACATTACCGAGGTCGACATATCAGAGTTTTTGCAAATCATTTATATAGTAAATAATGCCGGGACCGGGGATGGACGTCGACATATCCCAGGTTGTCGACATATCCGATGTCAATACCGAAGTTTACCTGTAGTTATTGAATTAAAATTAACAAACTCACCAGACAGAGTGCTTGCTGGAGAAGGAGGCATTGAGGAGAGAGGGGTGGCCATTGGTGTACTGGGGGCAGACATCAACCCCGGGGCAGGGGTACTGGGAGCTGAGGCTGGAACAGGTGCCCCAGCAGGTGCTGCAGGAGAGTCTGGGCCGGGCAGAGGAGTTCCTATGGGTGGGGTTCCCTCTGAGGTGGGGTCTGATGAAGGTGGTTCCAGGACACTGGGGGTGGACTGGGGATCTAGGGTGTCTGTCGAGGTTTTATTAACTGTAGAAACTTCAGAATCTGTGGACTCTGGGACAGCTTAAAAAAGAATAAGTTTAAGAATAAAATATTCATCTTCATTCTTTTGCATTAACAAACATAGGTAATCAAAGATTATGAAGCTCACCTCGACGAATGTTATCAGTTTAAGTAATGCAAATCTTACATCATATTTTCTTTATATAAAGTATTCATCCCAACAAGAATATTCTTGCAAGTTGTGTTTACCCCTTACATGGCATATACACATGTCTATGTGTGTAGCGTGAAAATATGTATCGTGTAAACAAATATTCATAACTGTTAATACTGCAGATATCAAGGAATTCAAGTTCATTGGGATTACTCTGTTCCTAAAACTTTTACCTGGTCTCTTGTATGGAAAATATAGGTCAGATCCAATATCCGAAGCAAGTCTGACAGTGTCCATCCTTATATACATCATCCATGCAAGTTTGGTTTAGCTAGGGCTTATAGTTACTTGGGAATGAAAATGTAGGTCATATCCAGCATCCAAAGCAAGTCTGGTAGTGTCCATCCCTAGATACATCATCCATGAAAGTTTGATTTAGCTAGGGCTTATAGTTACTTGGGAATGAAAATGTAGGTCAGATCCAGCATCCGAAGCTAGTCTGGTAGTTTACATCCCTAGATACATCATCCATGCAAGTTTGGTTTAGCTAGGGCTTATAGTTACTTGGGAATGAAAATGTAGGTCAGATCCAGCATCTGAAGCAAGTCTGGTAGTGTCCATCCCTAGATACATCATCCATGCAAGTTTGGTTTAGCTAGGGCTTATAGTTACTTGAGAATGAAAATGTAGGTCAGATCCAGCATCCGAAGCAAGTCTGGTTGTGTTCATCCCTAGATGCATGATCCGTGCAAGTTTGGTCCAAATAGGGCTTTTAGTTCCTGTGGACTTGCTCCAAAAACTTTAACCTGGTCACTCATCTGGAAAATGTAGGTAAGATCCAGCATCTGAAGCAAGTTTTGAAGTGTCCTTTCCTAGATGCATCATCCATGCAAGTTTGGTCCAGGTAGGGCTTATAGTTCCTTGGTAAAAGACCTGCTCCAAAAACTTTAACCTGGTCACTCATCTGGAAAATGTAGGTCAGATCCAGCATCTGAAGCAAGTCGGATAGTGTATATCCCTAGATACATCATCAATGCAAGTTTGGTCCGGGTAGGACTTATTGTTACTTGGGAATGAAAAGGAAGGTCAGATCAAGCAATTCCTTGGGAATGGACCTCCTCCAAAAACTTTAACCTGCTCCAAAAACTTTAACCTGGTCACTCATCTAGAAAATGTAGGTCAGATCCAGCATCCGAAGCAAGTCTGGTAGTGTACATCCCTAGATGCATCATCCATACAAGTTTGGTTCAGGTAGGGCTTATAGTTACTTGGGAAAGAACTTGCTCCTAAAACTTTAACCTGGGACGCCGACGCTAACGCCGATGCCGAAGCCAGGGGTATAGCATAAGCTCATCTCGACTTCGTCGAGGTGAGCTAAAAATTGCATGTTTAACAAAACATTTGGCAATACTATGGAGTTTTAAGGATTTTTTTACTGTTTATCATAAGTAATGCAGCAATATTTCAAAAAATAAACTCTTCTTTCGTTTCCCGAAACAATGCTAAGCTACTTGAAAATGACTTATGTACGCATTTTCATTGCTCTAGCTGGAAAATTTCAATGTATAGGTGATGGAGAGTTGCTGATGCGAAATTTCACTAAGTTTCGCCTCAGCAGGGTCGTACGTATCACATGCATTAAGGACAGTCCTTGTACTGGAAGTCCAAGGGTGACTACACTGCTCTAAGTTAGAGAAAATTCGACCTAATTTTTTGTAAAACGGGTATTTAAAAATATCAAAGAATAATTCCATCGCTGAGATTTCGATATTAATGAACCTACTGTATCGTAGAAATTAAGCTGCAATTGTTGTTTAGGGCAGTCTTGCACGTTTTACTAGAATGGCTGGGAGGGGGTGTTTTAACAGTCATATTTTACTTAGTGAAGTAAACAGATAAACATTTTACATTTTTATCAAATCTCTGATGTTCTGAAAAGTGAATTTAGCCTTACTTTATTCGCTTTTGAAAATCATAAGATAAAAAATCAAACATTTGTAAATAACTGCTTGTTGCGTTTCTTTTGCGTGTCAGTATACTATAGTATATACATCCCTGATTGTATAAATTTTTTTTTTTCTTAATAATAATATAATAATCACTGTTTATTCAAGTAGTTCAATAAAGTAACATTCAATTATTGAAGAAAGAAAATTCATGAAAGAATATTACTTAAGCAATACCAAAAACAATACCAAAATAACTATGTGCAGCTTTGCTTGCTAGTGTATGACCTTGTGTTATCACTAGCTGCACAGATTATCATGATCTCTGTACTGTTGATTACTTAAGAAATAAAGTCCGCGTTTTGTTGCAGAATAACCTCCGAGGTCGAGAAATGTTGTTTTAAAAAGATAAAAGCCGAGGCTTTTATATTTCAAACAAGATTTCGGGACCAAGGAGGTTATTCTGCAGCATTCACGACAACAAGGACTTTATTTCTATTCTTCCATGTATGGTACAAACGCTTAATTAAGGATAATCGTTTCCTCTATAGAGAAACGAATTAGGTCACCATGTCTCGATTATGCTGATTCATTTAACACCAGAGGCAAAATTTGTTTGCTTACCTGTGTATAGAATGCAGACGATTTGAGCTTTTGTTACATTAAAAATAGCTTTTTTTTTTACAAATTACAAATATGTTCATAATATGTATTGATAAGTTAAAATGAAAATACAATAACAAAATCATGTTCCTGTTTTACTGCTAAAATCACGTAGTTTAATGTGTAGGGAGGTCCGTGGAATAGCCCCGCTTAGCTATAAAAACAGACATTCATCAGCAACTTGATGCAATTTTCAGTGTTTACACTACAAAAGACGACATATCGATGCGGTCTATGTATTTCATTCTACAGCAAAACATGCATTTGAATTGTTCAGATTTGATTCGTGTTTCTGATCTGATAATTTTTTGATGACGTTCGTGATTTATTGGCGAATAATGTCCGGCGGTTTCCTTTAATGTTCTGAATAATCGTGGTAGAATTGTGTATTGTGTGCGCTCAAGCGGATAGGGATTTCTGAAAGTGGCTGTATATTTCACCTCTGTCACCCCTACTAATGTGTTTGGAACCTTTTATTTTTCGGTGTTCTGCAAATTATAAAACCCGATGAGTTCAGAGTAGCTCTGGCAGTGGCTCTGGCGAGAGTTAGTGAGACTTCAGCGAGATAGGGTAAATTATTCACGGAAATATGGTTAGGAAGTGACTAGCCCGTGGAGGCATGGTAAACAGAAAAGTTATGTTGCGTTTCAGTTTTCACCACCCTAGAATCAGCTGATAATATATGTAGAAATGTACTTCAATCAATCGATCTCTTTTACCTTCATTCAAACTTACATAAGTATTCTCTATAATACAATTTTCTGCAATCATGAATTAAAATTTCTTTTTGGACAGATATTTTTTGCATGAAAACCGGGACTATATTTTTTGGCATCAGATTAGCAAATGAGGCACCAGCATGATTTTAACTGACCAATCAGCTGAATGAGTATTGCATTATGGGCTACTATGAATACAACATGAATTTTACGATAAAAAAAGGAAAATCTTATGGTAAATGAAAAGCATTTTTAAAATATTATTTTCATGCTTATATTTGACAAAAAATTCATTTGTTAAATATACGGTGGAAGTCTGGGTTTCTGAAATTCATACTGCAAAAGCGATTTGCGTCTGTTTTAATTCCTTTGTTGTACTATCGGTGAATACAATTGCCAGGTGAATTCCCTGACCGAACACGTGATCACGAACGTAAACAATGTTTTGTCCATTTAAATGCATAAGAGATGCTGCTCGTTTTCCTTACCCTTGAAGCGCTGGTGTTCTAAACTAGACACTAACTACATTTTATTAAACATTTTTTTTCTATTTAACAACAAATTAAAAATGACCGTTACATATTTCAAAGTTTCTTAACTTTGTATTTTGTTCGTAAGAACATTTTTCAATTTTGCAGTTCATTAACATGATCGTAGATTGACCTGAACTACGTGTTCGAAGTAAAATGTAAACATATATTTGGCGTAAACGTTGCTATTCATTCAACGATTGGTCAGTTGCTCGTGGTAAGATCCTCTGTGCGCATTTATAACAATAGCTATATAAGGCAAACAAAGGTTTGTCAGTGTAGATGATAATGCACATTTTTTACCAGTGAATGGGTCACTAGTGAGCTTTAATTTTCGCCGAAGAGAATAAGATATATTGTTATTTTAACACCCCCTTCTTTAGCCACCTTTTTATCTGTTGAAAGTCATGAAAGTCTTTCAAAAAGGTCTGGAAACATTTATTACAGGACACGTTTTCAAAAGAAACAGGCTACAGCAATATCATGTTTACTGCCAATTTTATTTATAAAACCAGTTCTACCCTATAACCTTTGAATAGATCAACCTAAACCACGTGTCTTGAATTTAAATCACAATAACATTAGTAGGGGTGTCTGTGTAAAACAATGGTCTTGGATAAAGTCTCACATCTAAAATGTCACTCCTAAAAAATTTTTTTTATTGGGTGGGGTTTTTTTCCGAACCCCCCCTAAACAGTTCTGGTACAATCATTAGATTTAGCTACGTAGCTTGATTTACCTACATAGCTTTATTTACCTACCTGAAGTAGCTTTATTTAGCTACTAAATCATATAAATCAAACTTATTTCTTAAATCAGCATTTTCCCCAGAAAGTGCAGAAAATTGACTTTGATGCAGTGATAATTTTCAACTTTGAACTCATCTGAAAACTATTCAAGATCAAAGGCCTGAAGGGCCTGTGAGTGTGAGTTGACTCGCTTGAATTAATATAGCTTTTTCATACATCTAGAGACCATACCTTATATTCACTTTATTTTGCATCTTAAGAGATTGAATATTATATGTTCGGTTCAAAAATAAAGTGTATATTGCTTTTCCTTTATATATACAGGCTGGCACTAATGGGCTTCCGTACATATTATTGTGAAAATAAGCTCTGCAAACCTGGATTCTATAATGAATTTAAGCACACTAGCTGATTAAGTGGTCAGTGTTATGAAGTAATTAGTTTGAAAATTCCCACAGCAAATCTGGATTCTAAAAATAGATTTTTCAAGCAGACTAGCTGCAGCTAATGGGAGCAGCAGGTGTTTGTGTTAGGGAGTATTCTAGGTCAATTATAAATAAACTTCAGATGGGAAGATTAGATCCGCCTAACATGCTTGAACATATATTCATACGCAGTAATTGTACATCATACAGATACAGTGATTGGGAAGGGCTTGCGCCACGCGCCATAGTCGCATTGAAGTGAAAAATGGCGCATTAAATCAATCAATCATGGCGCAAAGGTGTACATTCAATTTTTAGCGATCTTATTTGGAAATATTTTGTGTACGACTTTCTTTCTTGTTTTACTTTCGTTTTGAATGCTGTCAATTTAAAACAACAAATCTCATTGGTTGAAACCTGTCAAAAAGTACTTTCGGTTAAACGAAGCACTTACATGAGGTACAATACTTCATTCATTTGTATGGTAGGGCTGTTCCCTTTCCAAAACTGTCGTAATTTTAACAAAAAACACGGATCTGTTATATTCTAAGCAAGCTCCTTTAAATTTGCTGCATTTCATGCGTTAAAAGTCGGATTCGTTAATTAAAAACGTGTTTTCTCTTGTACTTCATTTTTGTTTGTCACTTTGTTATTTCTTAAAATGGCCCTTCAGATTATATTTATGGCCCATTTATTTTCAAAATGGCCCATCAAAAATGTTGACAGTTGCGCCACAGTCCCATTGACAATTTTGGCCTTCCCAATCACTGCAGATTTTTAATCAAAAATTTCTTTAAAAGCATGAAGATATAAATAATGCAACAGTATGAATTTTATACAAATTTTACCTCCTAAGTTTATACAATCACTCAAACAAAAGCATTTTTTGCTAGAACTATCATATTTGGCGTATGGATCACCTTGATGAATGCGTGAAAAAATTTACAGTTCTGAAATGGCTATGTCAACAGGTAGTAGCTCGCTATGCGAGCCAACTCAAAAAAATCACTCTTGGAGATGTGTCTTTTCTGCTCAATTGCAATTAAAGTTCTAAAAGTTTTGGGGCTATATACAACAGTTAATTTGTGATCTAACAGTTACTTCTTAAGTGACATAACAAAGACAAGAGGCCCAGTGGCCACATCACTCACCTGAGCACTATGGCTAGGAAAAAGCAAAATGCTTCCATTTAAATATGACCAATCATGGCTTTGCTGTTCTTGAGCAGAAGATTTTTAAAGATTTAACCTATGTATTCCTATGTAAAACTTTGATCACCCATTGTGGCCCCACCCAACCCCTAGGGGTCATGTTTGGACAAACTTGAATGTACACTAAGAATGCTTACATATAAATATGACCAATCATGGCTTTGCTATTCTTAAGAAATAGTTTTTTTTTTTTTTTTTAAGATTTTTACTATGTATTCCTATGTAAAACTTTGATTGCCCATTGTGGCCCCATCCGATCCCCGGGGGTCATGATTTGAAAAAACTTGAATCTACACTACCTGAGGATGCTTCCACATAAGTTTTATATTTTCAAGCACAGTGGTTCTTGAGAAGAAGATTTTTTAATGATGCCATTAATATTCTTAGTTATCTCCCCTTGGAAGAAGGCGTGGCCCTTCATTTGAACAAACTTGAATCCCCTTTACCCAAGGCAAGTTTGGTTGAAACTGGCCCAGTGGTTCTGGAGAAGAAGTCGAAAATGTGAAAAGTTTACAGACGGACAGACAGATGGACAGTACTACAGACAAAATGTGATCAGAAAAGCTCACTTGAGCCTTCGGCTCAGGTGAGCTAAAAACCAGTTTTGGTTAACATGAGCACAATGTGAAGTAATCATACTTATGCACACCAGGTGGTGCACAGTTACTCAAACAATGGGAATACATATTTTTCTTAAAAATGTTCAAACGCAGCAATGTTAAAACTATCTCTGCTTTAGATTGCTTTTCAAATAATACCTAGAATAAATATTAGTAGACATTTACTTGCAACTTTTTGTCTCTTTAAAATAAAAAGTAAAATCATGAAAATTTGTCTTGAAATAGCTAAATAAAGCTACTTGAGCTAGGTAAATAAACCTACGGTAAGTAATTTTAATTTTAGCTATGTAGCTAAATGTACTGATTGTACTGGACCTGCATAACCCCCCTGAATCCGCCACTGATAATTGATTGAAATTAGCTCAGCAGTTTTAGAGAAGAAGCTGAAAATGTTCAAATGTTTAATGAACGACTGACGACCAATGGAAACAGGTAGCAATACTTCACCTGAGTGACTCAGATGACCTAAAAAAAATTTTATTCCAAGGAAAGTTGTGTATTAAAAAAAAATGATACACATTTGGTTAAAGGACTTACCAATTTCTTTTCTTTCCTGAGACATTATCTACAAAAATAAACAAGATGTGTTTGTGAAACACTATGCGCCTGGCTCAGCGGCAACAAAGTTCAAAAAATCTATTTTTAGCATATTGATCACAGTCAAGGTCACAAGGTCATTGACCATGGTGTCATTTGAAAGAACTTAATCGGTGGAGTATGCATACTAAATATGAAGTCCATATCTCCTATGGTTCAAAAGTTATGGCAAAAAGTGTAAAGAGCTATTTTTAGCATATAGGTCACAGTCAAGGTCACAAGATCGTTGACCTTGCCGTCGTTTGAAAGGACTTTATCGGTGGAGTATGCATACCAAATATGAAGTCCCTATCTCCTTATGGTTTAAATGACCAACAGTGGAAAAAGCTATTTTTAGCATATAGGTCACAGTCAAGGTCACAAGGTCATTGACCATGGTGTCATTTGAAAGAACTTAATCGGTGGAGTATGCATACTAAATATGAAGTCCCTATCTCCTATGGTTCAAAAGTTATGGCAAAAAGTGTAAAGAGCTATTTTTAGCATATAGGTCACAAGATCATTGACCTTGTCGTCGTTTGAAAGTACTTTATCGGTGGAGTATGCATACTAAATATGAAGTCCCTATCTCCTATGGTTCAAAAGTTATGACAAACAGTGGAAAAAGCTATTTTTAGCATATAGGTCACAGTCAAGGTCACAAGGTCATTGACCATGGTGTCATTTGAAAGAACTTAATCGGTGGAGTATGCATACCAAATATGAAGTCCCTATCTCCTATGGTTCAAAAGTTATGACAAACAGTTGAAAAAGCTATTTTTAGCATATAGGTCACAGTCAAGGTCACAAGGTCATTGACCTTGATATCATTTGAAAGGAGTCTATTAGTGGAGTATGCATACCAAATATGAAGTCTCTATCTCTTATTGTTCAAAAGTTATGGCGAAGGTTAAAGTTGACAACAGACAAACAGACAGGACAAAAACAATATACGCCTGGGATCTATCGATCCGGGCGCATAAAAAAATTAAATCAACTCAAACTATAAAAAAAATTCTGTTTAACCAGACTTGTCGAAATTTTTAAATTTATTGTCAGACATTTGTTCTGTCGGACCAGTCAAAGTTTTGTCATACCAGATATATATATACCTCATTGAAAGTCACAGTGCTCCAAGTCACACTTGCTCTTAGGTCGCAAAATGGCGACCTAAAAATTTTTTTGGTCGCCATTTCAGAATTTCTGGTAGCCATAATCATATTTTTTACTCGCCATAAAAAAACAATACATTTTGAGAATAAAACTTGATAATTTAAATGAGGATATGTATTATGTCTTTATTATATCATAGATTACTTATTACTGTGACTATAAAAATTTGCTAGGTTAAATGAAATATTTTTATTGAATACATGTACCCTCATGATTGTACAGAAGAACACAAGTAATCTGATTACAGAAATAAAATTTTATCAAATGAAAATACAAGCTTGACAGCTGTTGAGACAGGACTTTGCCTGCTGTTTATCATGTTTACTTACTAATACGTACCTAACACATTACACAGACATTATAAATGCCGCCAAAACACTCTTTATTGGCATGATAATACAATCATGATTCATTTTGATATGAAAGCAATTGATCAAATGCTTCAATAACAAGGTCGGATCTTAAAAAGTGTACGAAGTTTGGATGCCATTCTATCAGGAACATTATTTGTCCATGTCTCTGGTTCAGGTTCTATCAAACTTTGTACAGCATGCCATGCTGTCATAATATTACGTGATCTAAGTCCATGCAACGCTTCGTAATTTTATATTTAAGTATTTAAGTATATGTCTTCAAACATTTTCTTGACAGAGAATCTTTACAAATGAAATCTCGATCCCGATCTTAAAAATTGGACGTTTCCAGCCCAAATTTTCTCAGTAGCGAAAATGCGAGTGTGTTTTCATTTCTAGTCGCAAAATCAATTTTTTTGGTCGCAAATGCGACCATTTTAGTTGCAACTTAAAGCACTGAGTCATATGAATAACAGCACCAAAATTCCCTGGGTTATTTTCAACAGCCTAAAATATTACAAGTCTTTAATAAAAGACATAAATGACATGTTTTATGACTTTGCTATAACAAATTTCATTGGATATCATCAACACGTCGCGTACGCTGTAATTTTTTCTGTGTTTGTGATCTTCAACTGCGCATCCCGATCCGGACCTTTATTATATATCTAATGTGTATCACCCAATTTTACTGTTGAATTTACGCTATCACTTGACGTCGTGATCCGATTTTCCGGATCACCAACATGTTTTCTGATCCATATCACCACTCTCTGAAACTGATGACGTAGTACGTAGAAATATGACATTATTTTTCTTGTGCGTTAAAAAGTCCCTTGTTATTATGCTTTGTTTTATGGATAAATGTTATGGAATTGATCTCTAAAGTTTTCTTTTGCTATATTTTGCTAGTAATGAGGGGGTATACAATAAATTTATCATTATAACAGTAACTTGATCCGAAGAGGCGTATCACGTCTCGTTGACAGGCGCGGATCATCAGATCAAACTCGACGCTTCGTCTCGTTAGATCTGATGATCCGCGCCTGTCAACTCGACGTGATACGACCCTTCTGATCAAATTACTGTTATAATAATATATATTTATTAAATTTGCATCACGCTGGATTATTTCAAACGGTCATCTGGACCGACGTTTTCTTAATAGTTGTGGGTACAGACAAATCTTTACTGGACTTGCCGATAGGACCAACAGATTTCGACAAGTCTGTTTAAGAGAAAAGTAGGCGTATTATTAGACTTTGCAGGATAACCTCCAAAGTCGACAAATATTATTTGCAATAAAAGTATTATCCATGTGTACCAACCTGATATTCATTCATGTGCTCTCATCTGTGCTAATTGGGTACCTTAACAACATAAAATATGTATTAAACACATGGAAATTCAAAAATAATTTTTAACTTTGTTTTACTTCAAGTCATGAAGTGATGCCATTAGGCTATTGTCAAAAAGGGGAAAAAGTATCAAGATTCTGTTGAATATCTAATTTCATTAGACCCCCTGGGCCCCCAAGTCTGCCTCCCTAATGTCAAATTCCTGCCGAGGCCCCTGATTAAAGCAGTAAAGTAGGTGAAATAGATAAATTAATACGTTATATCGCGACTACCAATGAGTACCTCGCAGTTATCTAACTTACTACCGCTCTTTTGCGGGGGAGTCGAGAAATGTCTACATTTCTGGGGGCAAATGACATTGTTTACAGTAGTGACAATCGAATGATTCAAACAATTTAATGCCGAAATCACGATGTTTTGTCAGATATTGAACTCCAAATAGTAGATTGTCAAATAAGGAGAGTTTAGAATATTTTATCTGCTTAAAAATGTGACGATTTTCAATGAAAATTTAGCGAGAAGAGTCTGCTAAATAAAAAATATCGTTAAAAATGTGACAATTTAGGATTGGCTCCTCTCAAAAATATATTAGGCTGGTTCAGCGATTGTTTAGCGAGGTATTCCACCAGGATTTTTTACTTATCTGTCCTTATAAATGCTACAATGATCGATCTTGCATTGTATTGAATAGCACATTGCCCCCACCCAACAGAAAATTCCTACCTCCTTCGAGAAAGAGTTCCGCTAAGTTAACGAGGCCGAGTCTAATTATTTCTGCCCTACGGATTTTGATAATTTTTTGAAAATTAATTTTTACTGTAATATTAATTGTTTTAGGATTAAACAAGAGGCCCAAGGGCCACATCGCTCACCTGAGAAGCTTTGACCATTCTGTTCTTTACGAGAGTTCCCCCTTATTATACATAATGCATCCCCACCCTACCCCACTGATCATAATTTAGACATTTTGAAATCTACACTACCCCATGATCCTTCCAAGGGCACATATGTTTCAGCTTTTTTGGCACAGTGGTTCTTGAGAAGAAGATTTTCAAAGATTTTTCCTATATATTTCTATGTAAAACTTTGATTCAATATAATGTCCCTGCCCTTCCCCGGGGGTCATTATTTGAACAATTTAGAATCTACATTATACCAGAATGCTTCCACATAAGTTTCAGCTTTTCTGGCCTTGTGGTTCATGAGAAGAAGATTTTCAAAGATTTTTCCCATATATTTCTATGTAAAAGTTTGATTCCCCATTGTGGCCCCGCCCTTCCCCCAGGGGTCATGATGTGAACAATTTAGAATCTACACTATACCAGGATGCTTCCACATAAGTTTCAGCTTTTCTGGCACAGTGGTTCTTGAGAAGAAGATTTTCAAAGATTTTTCCTATATATTTCTATGTAAAACTTTGATTCCCCATTGTGGCCCCGCCCTTCCCCCGGGGGTCATAATTTGAACAATTTAGAATCTACACTACCCCAGGATGCTTCCACATAAGTTTCAGCTTTACTGGCCCAGTGGTTCTTGAGAAGAAGATTTTTTAATGACCCAACCCTATTTTTGTCTTTTCTTAATTATCTCCCCTTGCGAGGGGATATGTCCCTTCAGTTTAACAATTTAAATTCCCCTTCACCCAAGGATGCTTTGTACCAAGTTTGGTCAAAATTGGCCCAGTGGTTCTTGAGAAGAAGTCGAAAATGTGAAAAGTTTACAGACGGACGGACAGACAGACAGACGGACGGACGGACAGACGGACAGACGGACGGACGGACGACGGACAAAATGTGATCAGAAAAGCTCACTTGAGCCTTCGGCTCAGGTGAGCTAAAAATCGAATGTTTACCACCCCGATCTCTTAGTGGGCCATCTTAAATGTTGTCAAACTTTACTATTGGACCCTATGGGAATTTGTTGGAAAATCGCCAAATTATTACATTTTTTCAATATTTTCTGAACTTCTGCCCTAGGGATTTCTTTTTCATTCAAGTAAATGAAAGTAAATGTAAAAAGTCACCAAATTGTGAAATTTCAAAAAAGTTAACCATCTCGATTGGTCTAGGTAGTAATTACTAAGTTTATTTTTTCTAAGCCAAATACCTCTAAAATTGCCATATTACGCTATAAATACATATCTTTGCTGATGAATTATCGGTGCATATAATTTTTTTCGGCATAAATAGCAATTTTTTGATTGACAGTATGTTTTTAGGGGAAGTTCTGTCATGAGTTTTTAGTATAATATCCATGAACGTCTTGAACATACAAGCGAGTCCTGTGTCATTCTTCGGCATCATGCATTGCTTACAAAATCCGAAAACGGTGACGTTGTTAGAGCCATTTCAACGTTCTTATTCCAATAATTGTAGTTAAATCACATTTTCAGATCTGTAGGAGCTACAATTTTATAATGTTTATTTTGTATTGAAATTAAAATTATTTTCAAAGGTGTATCGTCTCGTATCCTATTTTCGACCGTATTGTATTTTCGACCTATTTTTCCCAATCTGCTTCCCGTGCAGATTCCGCGCGGTAGAACATTATTTTCGGTTGCTACACTTGGAAAAATACCTTTGAAGCACAATTGTACTAAAAATACCCCAAACAATTAATTCAATGGAATTCCCTCGATGGTTTTAGTCCGATGTCAGAAATTCTAGTCTTTTTACTAATGCACATTTTATCTGTTGATTAATCGAAGCCGTAATCGGTTATTTACAAAGATTTTTTGATGACATTTTTCCGAAATAAAATTAAGATCTATGTCAAAGAGACGCATGAATATTGAAATAAATGGGTGGATCAAACAATTTTAATTCTTCCTTAAATATTGGCTATTTCTTACATATTTTTATTGAAAAATGCAACGTTATTTCATTGATTTTTTGGGGAAATGCACAGATACTAACAGATAGGTTCAACAAAAGAAAAAATGCATTTGCAACCAAAATATGCAACTTGTTCAATGTTTTTTTGAAAGACAGACAATCGTATTTTTATTGTTTGGAATATCCAATGGATATTTATAGCCAATACTGATTGGGCGTTGATACTATATTTAGGTCGAAAACACAAGACGCTAATATTTTTGTAAGGAAAACCGTACCCTCTCCATATTATGGCATATAAATAAAATAAATACAAAACTGCAATTTGGGTTATATCATTTTATTTATAGACACATATGTTAACATTTTAAGCCCATATTTTTTTCAGATTCTATAAAGTTTGTGATAAATTAATAAATAACATCTAAATAGGTCGAAAATACAATACGCCAGGATACTATCACACAAATGACTGCATGAAATTAAAAAGCTGCGCAAAGTGATGCGCACTCGAATTAGACTAGGCCTCGTTAAGTAATTGCGATATCAAGTATTATAACGTCATAATGGATCTAGCGCCAACCAGACAGTTTAATCTCATCTACTATCATGACTATAGATATTGATCTTATGTAAGCAAGGTATCTTACTTACTTACGAAGGAAGATGGTATGAATATATGAAAAATTCTCTTAGAAAAGTACAACGTTCCCGGATAAAAAAATTCTATAGCACCTAATGGCTGTCCAATTCAATTGTAAACACACAGACTTACAGACATTAAACATGTTAAAAAAGGTTAAAAATAATTACTTACCAGCATCCTTGTTTTCGCGCCCATTCCGTTCATCGCGCGAGTGTGACTAAAATGGGTAGCGAAACCCTGGCCGGGCCGGGAATTTTGTAACTGAAAACCGGGTTTTTGATAATTACGAAATAAATACTCATTCTTTCTTCATGAAATTTACATACATAGTCTATAACTGTAATGGGTAGCGAGCCCGGATTACTCATTTTGGCGATTTTAAGCTTAATGCATAGAAAATATATGTGATATTTTCAGTTACGAAATTCCCGGCCCGGCCCGGGTTTCGCTACCTATTTTAGTCACACTCCCAGAGTTCCCCTTGCGGGGTAATACTAAAATACGCCTGCCGACGCCTGCCAGGGGAAAGTACGCCTGCCGAGAAGATCTATACGCCTGCCGTGTTATTTATCGAATTAATTTGTATTTTGTTAGATATATTACTTTTACAGACCATGCAGTTGATTTTTTACCAAACCAAAATAATTTAATCAAAGTACTGAAAGTACTCATGGGAGTTGAACATTGTTATCTGAAAGATCTCACAGGAAGTATAAGAACATCTTCATGCATTCAGATTCAAGTCAGCTAGAACTGATTTGTTAGAGATACAAAACGAAACATTAAAAATGATTTCTATTGCATTTAAATAGCCAAGATCATGGGACTGCTCTTAAAGAATGGGTGGACTTAACTGGCCAGAAAAAATGCCGTAAATTTAAGTTTCATAAAATGTTTACTTTTTTTCATTATATAAATCCCCGTGTATTCATGGTACGGATGTGAATTTAAAACTCTTTTTTCGAGGTAAACTTAATAAATATCGAAGGCATGGTGCCTGAAAATTTCTTGAATATCAATAGATAATCAGGGTCATGTGTTTTTCATCGTCTGAATACATAGTCAGCACATGTTTGTCGGCTGTTCTTAAGAAAACTGTAGTTGTATATTGAACAAAATAATGTTATATTAAAAGGAGAAGAGCCGACAAATGTGTGCTGATACTTAATTTAACAAAAAACATGTTCAAAAAAAACTTCTCGCTTCCATTGTTATGTCTTCGATTGACCTGTTTAATATTGCAATTCATCACGTGATGTCCACCTGCGAGTGTACTCGTGAAAACAGTTACATTGTATTCTTCAACCTGACCTCGATCTAAATCATGTCTTTAGCGTGTTTCATTGCCGTTTTCAGAATTTAGCACATTAAATACTGTTTTAATTTTGCGTGTCATGACATTTTTAAAATAATTTCATATTGACATCGCTGTAATATGCTAAACACGTATTCGAATTTTTCGAGAGAGAGAGGGATAGAGAGAGAGATGTCAACAATGACGCCGATCGATAGCCCCGCCTCCTATAAATATTGATTGTGTGACATAAAAACCACACCGGGTACATGTCGAATTCCGGAAGACGATACTTATGTATCGTTGTTTCAATTTTGATACATGACAACAGGGCATTGTTTTTGCACAAATGTTCCACCTAATATTACCAAGTATATGTAGCTCTTACCATTGCTCGTAATATATTTTGGATTCACTTTATTTACAGCTTGGTAGAGGAGTCGCAAAAAGATCCAAAATAGGGCGTTAAGTCCACCCATTCTTAGCTGCAGAATTGTAGCTCTCCGAAAAAAAATTGACAAACCGGAGAGCTACAGTGCTATCCATTGAAAAAACTGTATATTTATTGCGCACGAACAGTTCAGTTTAGTTCTGGATTAATTCTTTCTAATACGCAAGTTTCGAGATTATCTCCCTTGGATGCGCTCTTTCGTTGAGGAGGGGAGTTTGGTTGCCGCGTAAACAAACAGGTGGGACAGATATTTATTATTGGATATATCGCATCATCGATATACTGGTTTATCGTTACTATATAATTGTAAGGATGCACTGTTCAACTCAAGAACAACCGAATTAAAGTAAAGGTGTCATTTTTTAAAGCAAAAAATTCGGAACAAAAAAGAAAATTCAGTGGATGTGAGACTTTTCAGACGAGGAAAGAGATATATGGACCTCTAATAAATACGGTAAACATGAAGCTGATCATTACATGTCGGCAATCTAAATGACACATTGATTTTTTACCTTATTATAACTTCAAAAAAACCACTAACTTTTTAGGGAATGTTTGTACAATCAAGAAAATCTTTTACTTTTATGAAGACCACGACGTTTATTTCGTTTTTAAGTACCCGATAATTGAAAGTAGATTTATAAATATACACAGTTGAGCTTGACCAAATCATAAAATGCATCACTGATTAACATCTTCATCTTTCTATAACATTAAATAAATTTTAAAAGCCATAGAAATCGTTCATTTATTTATGCACGTTTGTATACATAAGCAAAGTGTCCCACCTCCATGCTGAAATGGATACTTTTTGCGCCTTTATTGCAGGAGAGTTACAATCACGAAACTGGCGTATTCTTACCTCAACAATTTGACCAAACCAAACAAACAACCCCCATCACCAAAAAAAAAAATTTCAAACTCGAAAATACTATTTTTGTTGTTAGGTTTTAAACTTCTTTCAGTACCATTTATTACTAAAACTCAAACACTTCCCTTATATTTCTGAAACATTTGAATCAAAACGCCCCCTACTCTCTTCAGAATGTGTACAAGATATTTGGTCCCAAGAAACAAACAAACAAACACTCTTTATATTCGATGTTACCATCACCAGACACTAGATTGTCATTTTTCTTCCTCTGATTAAAACAAGTATTTGCTATTCTCTTTTGGGTATGAATGTTTCCTTTCGGACACAATAATTATTTTTTATAGAACTCCATGCTTATCTATTTTATCAAATGTATCTATCTTTATAACTTAATCATCAAGTTTTGTTATTCCATAATTTTAAATTTCATTTCAAGTAATATCTATATAGAAGTAAGTATGTCTGAATACTTTACATTTTGTTTGTTTTACGTTCGATAATTTTTCAATCATATTGAAACACTTAGCTACATGTAAGTCTACAATTTTTTACATATACACAGCTCTCAAAACCATTGAGTAGTGAGGGATCGTTTTGTGCAAGCACATACTGCGACATGGGATTTCGGTTTATATTGTCTCATCAAAAGAGTTTATCTCCAAATGCATCCCACAGGATTCGAACCTGCGACGTAAGGATCAATTAACACATTACGTTGAATCTCTAGAGCAAACTATTTTAACAACTGCGCCACGCGAGTGAGACTTAAAGTTTGTGATTTTGATTTGATTCAAATGTAATTAAAAATCAGACATAGTTTAAAGAGCTACTACAAGAAAAAAAATAGTTGTAATCATGAGGAATGATCTTTCTCACATATCGATCATTGGGATTATCATACCATTGTGTCTGTGCATACGCATGTATTCATAAATCTTAACTGTTTTAATTATGAAATAAAATCAAATGATACATTTTATAAGGTAATACTGCAATACAAGTACACACACATTATTTTTTCAAGTTCAGATTTGGTGTTGTACATGTGACCAACTGAATGCTGATAAATTCATGAAATTAAGGATGCAAAATTAATGTCATTTGAAATTGTGTGATCGAATGTCAACAAACTTTAATGCTATCATTTTTTCCCTTTACCAACGTAACAAAATGAGTTGCATGTATCTGATCTGACAAAAATTTTCCAGTCTAACAGATCATTTTACTTGTCAGAGCAAATAAATATTTTCCGCAGTGTTTTTTTTTTAAAAAGAAACGTTGTTCTGTCTCTTTATTGCTGAAACAAATTGAAAGAAGTTTGGTTTTAAAAACCTTAGCGTTCCTTTCCTTACATCTTTGTTTACATCTCTATATTTAGACAATCGCGTCATTGTCAAACCAGTTACACCAGTTGTTGCTCCTTGGATGACCTAGCACTTTTTGTAATGAAGCGTAGTGGAGTCAGCCGAGGATTGCCGAATGGTAAATGTCGGAAAACTGTGACTATTTTTTCATACGGAAATCAAAATGTATGTGTCATTTCTCATGAAAGATGACAAAAACATGCTATTCAAATTCAGTTTAATAAAATTCTATTTTGTTTACTTTCAAATCATTTATGAAAATTAGATTAATTCAGAAAAATGAGATGGACTATTTTTATTGCGGAAGTTTCTTCGAGTTTATATAGACTGGTACGAGTTTGTATTGAATATCATAGGGGAGTAAATTGGGCGACACAGAAACACCACGACGACCGCTATATATTTCATTGTAAAATTACTGCGCTAGAAACCGCGTGACAGCCTAGGGATTCTGAACATAGTTCAACTCCCAAAAATTAAACGCGCATATATAACTGTTCGATTTAAAATTGAACAACGTCCTCTATTCATGGATTTACTGGGTTTTTTTTTTTAAATAATGTATATTAAAATTAAATTTTTGACGTTCTTGATAGTTTTCATTCATGAGCTGTCAATAAATGTACATGAACATTTCCATGTACGTTTTTCCTAATTAAGCTCTGAAGGCAATCGCGTCTTGTGCCTTACTAGTAGAAAAAAACCGTATTATGCTTTAATAAGTAGAAGACATTCCCCCCCCCCCCCCCCCCCCCGGGGGGGGGGCTGGATAACATCCTAGATCCCATATTAAAATCTTCATATTTTTACAGGGGAGGAGTATGGGAGAGACCCTTAGACTATCAAAAAGAATTTATGTTACAAGACCGGGAACCCATTTAGCTAGCCCGGATATAATTGGAAAAAAAATCCCTTATAATTCTATTATATGTATTTCTGAATAAGAGTATACATTGCCCGGGGACCTGGCTTACATTCCCATATCCCACTGATATTTATATCTTCATATTTTTATGGTGGATGGGTATGGGAGGGACCCATCCACTGTCAAAAGGAATTTATGTTACAAGACCGGAAACGTATTTAGCTACCCTGGTCAAAATTGGAAAAAAAAACCGGTTTAACGCTTTAATAAGTAGAGGACATTGCCCGGGGGGGCTGGATAACATCCTGGATCCAATATTCAGATCTTCATATTTTTACAGAGGAGGGATATGCGAGGAACCC